CAGACGCGGCAAGCCGGTTTTGGCGGTGGGAGTGGCTGGCGGGGCTGGGGCCAAGAGCCCTTTACGCCAGGAAAAAGGCTTTTCCGATTTTTGAGCTGAGGATGGAGGCTGTCCAACAGCCAGGGTAGGGGCTGGGTCCACCGTGGAGGCTTGGGAGAAAGGAAACGCTCATCCTTCTCCCCCTTGGAGGCTCCAAGGGCCAGGCAGAAGTCCAGGGTCCCCACGCCCGGGCCTCCCTCCTGCTCCCAAGTTCAGGGGACCCCAGCGGGATTGGGGCTGAAGGCCTGAGGGACTGGAGGATAAGATAAAGGCTGCTGGTCACAGGTGGATACCTGCCCTGGGAGCCCCAGGCCTGCCCTCTCTCCGTGTGCTTGGTCTGACCCCAAGCCTCTGGCAACCATAGTCCCTCACCAGCCTCACTCTCCCGCAGGGGCCTTCTGCATCCCACTGTATGTGCCCTACGTGCTCACTGGCCGCTGGACTTTCGGCCGGGGCCTGTGCAAGCTGTGGCTGGTGGTGGACTACCTGCTGTGCACCTCCTCGGTCTTCAACATCGTGCTCATCAGCTATGACCGCTTCCTGTCTGTTACCAGAGCTGTGAGTCCTGGATACAAGCGCTGCGTTTCACTGAGGGGTATGGGGAGGGGCAGGGGCCTGGGGGGTTTGATCCCTGCTGGCCTCTGACCTGCCGTGTGGGCACTCTTTGGCCACATGCCCACTCAGGGGCCATTGGCTGCGAGCAGGACAGGTCCTGGCATGGCAGGAAGTGGGGAGTCTGACCTGAAATCAGATGCTCCTGCAGGAGCCGTGTCACTGACCAGCCTCAGCCCTGGGGTGGGTCTGAAGTGCCTAGAGTTGAGAGGGTCTGTGTGAGCAGGCCAGTGGGGTGCGCTGCAGCTCCTGGCTGCACCCCTTCCTCTCAGTGGAGTGGCTGTCGTGAGGTAGCCCTGGGCCTGCTGGGCTCTGTTGAGTAGGAGCGGAGTGGATGCCAGTGATGGCTCCCTGGGGAGTGCGTTTCTTTTGGGCCTAGAAAGATTGTGGGACAGAGTGCAGAAAGCACAAAGCTGGGGTCCTTTTGAGTCCCTCCTGCCCTCCCTGAGCCACCAGGGACTTGGGGCAGTCTTTGGCTGTTGTGAGACTAAAGAAGGTAACATCCACGGTGCCCAGCACAGACCCTGGCACAGGGAAGGTGCGCCATGAACCCAGAGAGCCACAGTTTAGAGCAGTGCTCTGTCAGCCCCAAGGCAAAAGCCTTGGCTGATGTGGGTGGGAAGTTACAGGAGCTCCTCCCTCCTCATCTGGGTGTCCCATCTCCTGCCCCTCCCTTCCCTGTGGGCTTGGTTGCTCTCTGGCTGGAGACTCTTGGTGAGGACTAACCACACCCCTGCACTCCTTCCAGAGGTCCTGGTGGACATAGTGGATGCTTGGTTACTATGTGTGTGTGCTGGAATCTAGTGCCAGGCATACGGGGGCCCAAGGTGGGAACTGGGAGAGCTTACTGCTGGTAGCGTTGGTAAAAGAACAAGGTGTGGGTTGCCTATGAGGTTCCAGGGCCAGACGTCAGTCAGCCGGCCAGGACTCACGGGGAAAGGTGAGGAGCACAGAACAGGGACCAGCACCACAGGTGAAGGGCAGACACACAAACCCAGAGGCTGCCCAGCCTGACCCCTCCTCACCCCCATGTCCCTCTGCAGGTCTCCTACCGGGCCCAGCAGGGCGATACGCGGCGGGCGGTGCAGAAGATGGCGCTAGTGTGGGTGCTGGCCTTCCTGCTGTATGGGCCAGCCATCCTGAGCTGGGAGTATCTGTCTGGGGGCAGCTCCATCCCCGAGGGCCACTGCTATGCCGAGTTCTTCTACAACTGGTACTTCCTCATCACAGCCTCCACTCTGGAGTTCTTCACGCCCTTCCTCAGTGTCACCTTCTTCAACCTCAGCATCTACCTGAACATCCAGAGGCGCACCCGCCTTCGTCTGGATGGGGCCCGGGAGGCTGGCCCAGAGCCCCCTCCAGAGGCCCAGCCCTCCCCGCCTGCACCACCCCCTGGCTGCTGGGGCTGCTGGCCGAGAGGCCAGGGGGAGGCCATGCCACTGAACAGGTATGGAGTGGGTGAGCCCGGCCCCGGCACCGAGGCTGGAGAGGGAGCCCTCGGGGGTGGCAGTGGCGGAGGTGCTGCAGCCTCGCCCACCTCCAGCTCTGGCAGCTCCTCGAGAGGCACAGAGAGGCCACGCTCACTCAAGAGGGGCTCCAAGCCCTCTGCTTCCTCGGCATCTCTGGAGAAGCGCATGAAGATGGTTTCCCAGAGCATCACCCAGCGCTTCCGGCTGTCACGGGACAAGAAGGTGGCCAAGTCCCTGGCCATCATCGTGAGCATCTTCGGTCTCTGCTGGGCCCCATACACACTGCTGATGATCATCAGAGCTGCATGCCATGGCCACTGTGTCCCTGACTACTGGTACGAGACATCCTTCTGGCTTCTGTGGGCCAACTCGGCAGTCAACCCTGTCCTCTACCCGCTGTGCCACTATAGCTTCCGACGAGCCTTCACCAAGCTGCTCTGTCCTCAGAAGCTCAAGGCCCCGCCCCGCAGCTCCCTGGAGCAGTGCTGGAAGTGAGCGCAGCCACTCCCCTTGAGGGCTCTGTTTGCTGGGGTGCCCACCCCAAGTTGAGGCAGCTGCTCTAGACCATTTGCCCTGCAACGAGGGCAGCCTGGTGGGCTGGCTGGGGCCTCACTCGCTGGACTGCAGTGCGGGTGGTGGTCTCTGCTCCCATCGTCCTTCCTGGAGGGACCACCTCTGGGTCCCAGGCATGATGTCCACCCCCACGGACAGCGCTGTGGTCAGTGGTGTCATCTTTGTCACGCTTGGCGGTTGGTGTTCTCCTCAAAGTGAACGCTTGGTGTGTGCTCCTGCACGCGCACACACCTGCACACCTCCCCTCCCCAGACAAGCCCGGGACGCGGCCCTTGCTGCTCTCTGTCTTTCACTTACGTCCAGGGTCTGGTTCCTTCATCTGTCTTCCCTCCAGCTCTCTGCCCCACCAAGTGTCAAGGCCCCGGGAACTGTGAAGCGGTTCTCTGCTTTTCCATTTTGGGTGTTTTCAGGAAGATGAAGAAAACACGTCTGTGAACTTGATGTTCCTTGGATGTTTAATCAAGAGAGACAAAATTGCCGAGGAGCTCAGGGCTGGATTGGCAGGTGTGGGCTCCCACGCCCTCCTCCCTCCGTGCTGCGGCTTCCGCTGAGCTGTGCCAGCTGCTTCTGCCCACCCCACCCCTGGGCTCGGGACGATGGGATGGCCCTACCATGGCTCTGAGCGTGTCTGGAGCCCTGTGCTGCCTACTCAGCTGGCCCCTTGTGCACAGCCATCCTTTCCCTAGAGTTACAGGGTAGGAGGGAACCTGGCCGTGCCTCAGGATCCTGAGCCTTGCAGGGACAGTCGGCAGGTCAGGGCCAGGGGATGCCCAGGGGAGACCACTGTGCCGTGTCCTGCACACATGCCACAGGCGCTCTGCATGCTCTGCTGTCCTCGTGCCCACTGCGCTGCCCCTGCCAACGTGAAGTCACAATAAAGTGTATTTTTTTATTGGTGCTGATTTCTGAGTACTTTGTGGGCATAGTCAGAGACCCCAGTGAGACAAGACCCCCCAAGAGGCAGACGAGGGACTTGGGGGCTTGGTGGAAGAAAGGCTGGGGCGGCCATCCCAGGGACCAGGGCGCCCACCGCTGGCCCACATGCTGCCAGCCTGGAGAACACACACCCGAGGTGCCCACTGGATACAGCCAGCCCCAGGCAGGAGCTGTGTCCTCAGACACAACCTTGCAGTGAGGAGCAGAGCTGTGCTCTAGCAAGACCCAGGGCACCGGGGCAGTCTTTGCCATGCCTCACACGCTGTGGAAGAACCGGGGAAGGGGTGGTAGAGGGGCTGTAGTGACTAGGGTGGGCTTCTGGCAGCTCGTGGAGATACTGGGCAGGGGAAGGGATGAGCCTGCAGAGGAAGGGCATCTTAACAAGAGGTGCCATCCTGGACTAAGGGCTCGAGGTGCAAGATGGGCCGGATAGGAAGAGGAGAGTCAGGCAGGCAGGTGATGCTGTCCCTTGGAGCCAATGATAATGAAAAGCTGACCCTCACCCAGGAACCCAGAAGCTACTTAGAAAATTGGAAAATGGGGGGGGGGATTTAGCTCAGTGGCACCAAACCGGCCTCACAAGCACAAGTTCCTAAGTTTGATCCCCAGTGCTGAGAAGAAAAAGAAAAAGAAAACGGGCAAAGCGGCAGGGCCCTGTCCCTCTGACCCTAGTTCTCACCTGACCCTGCCACTTTGCTCTACACGCCTCTCATTTTCCCTTCCTTGCCACCTTGCTGCTGCCGTCTCCTGGGTCAGTCCCTTGCAGCTGGGCACCCTGGGGTCCGACCTGTTGTGAGCAGCGTTCTCCACAAAGCAGAACTGCCCAGGGGCTCTGATTCTCAACACTGCAGAGGGGAAACCAGCCCACAGCAACCTGCCTTCTCCAGACTTTTTTGTGCCTACATATCCATTTTCTAAACTCCTTGGAAAACTTTTCTCCAAGTGAAGCTGGCCCCTGCCCCTCCAGCTCTCCTTCCCTCTCCTGGACCCTATTCCTGCCACTTCCTGTTAAGGGAGGATCCGTAGTGACCAGAGGGAGGGGTGAGCCTGGGGACACTGTGTCCCCTGTCCCCTAGTCCTGAGCAGTGGAGAGCAGGGAGGGCAGGGAGCGTCCACCCACCTCTGGGAGACCCCGTGGCCCCTCCTCCAGCCACTGGCTTCCTTGCCCTGCACCACCTGCCTGGCCATGGTGCCTGTCTGTCCCGCAGCCCAGAGCTGTCTGGGAAGGACAAAGAGTGGCTCCGCAGCAGTGGGCGCCTCCGCACAGCAGCACAGCCGGAGCCCTGGCTGCCCCTCCGCCTGGCCCTGCTAAATGGCTACAAATTGGAGGATAAAAGCACAGGCTTTCAAGCAATTTTTCCTTCAATCTCTGGAAACTGCTGCTCCTGGAGCTTCTGTGCGGGGATGGGGAGGAGAAAAGAGACACAGAGCCTATTGGGCCCATGTCTGCAGCAAACAAACACACTGAGGGGGCCTTCTGCAATCCCGGTGAGCGCTGGAGGAGACAAAGCCGCTGCCCAGGGCCCACAGCGCAGCTGTTGTTTACTGAGTACCAGGGACTGCAGCAGGGAGGACGGGGGCTGGAGCAGGAACAACACAGCCAGGTCCCCGAGCTGTGGAGAGCTGACCCTAGGCTAAGGGATGAAATGGTGTCCTGAGGTCAGCCTGGCTGCCCACCAGAGGCCATGGCCCCCGGCAGAAGGCAGGACCACAGCACGGCTGAGGCAGAGGTGCGGCCCCACTGGGTCCTCCTGAAGGGGCCCTTGGGCTGTCACTGGCTGTGAGCATTGGGCACCTTGCCAGCTCTGGCACTGGCTCTGAGCTTCCTCCCCAGGGACAATTTCTGGGCATCTGCCTTGTAGAGGTCCTTCCCAGCTGGGATGGAGGCCCTTGGCAGTTGGGGCCCAGCAGGCAACCAACGCCCTACTTCTGCAAAATCCCTAGGAGCCAGGGCTGTGAGGAGGAGCAACTGGAGCCCCCAGAAGGCTTCAGGGGCCACACGATTGTCGGCCACCACCTCTGCCCCACTGGCCCTCATTGCCAGGCATGGGGGGCAAAGATCCTCCCCGATAGTCACTAGCACTCCTCAGAGTGTGGGCCTTGGAGGGACAGTCATGCTCTCCATTCTGCAGCTGAGAGCCAGGCCAGGAGGGACTTAGGAAGCCAGGACTCAAAGACAAGCCAGACTGAAGCCCATGCCCTTCATCCCACCTTCCCTGAGCACCTGCTGTGGGCCAGGCCACAGGGTACCTGTGGGTGACTAGCCTGCCCTGCAGGTAGTGTCCTCCTGGGGAAAGGGCCCACGTCCTGGTCACTTTTGTGCCTGGTGGCAGGTTGGGACGTCCCCAGGAAGGTGGAATGGGGCATCCCAGAGAGACTCTGAGCTCTGCTGGTCTGAACCGGCAGCACCGATTGGCTGCCCACTGTGCTGGTCATAGGATGGAGCTGGGAAAGCAGCCCCTGCCGAGTCACAAAGGGAGCCAATAGAAGGGAGAAGTGGCAGGGTGGCAAGGGAGCCCCAAGTCCCAGTGCCCAATTGTCCAGGTCACGGGAGGTGTGCTTAGAAGGGGAACTGACGCCAGGGCCAGACTGACTGTCCAGTGTAACCAGCCAATCTGCATTGAGACTGGGCTACACTGAGACCGGGAGTGAAGTGCAAGCACCCTAAGGGGTCACCAGCTCCCACCTTCCCCTCCCAGCCGGTCTCCGGTGGGGCCAGGCAGTGGGGTGGGCCAAGCACCTCACGCTACTGCCCAGCGGCAGTCTAGCAGGGCCCTCACCCCCATGGGCAGGAAGTGGTTCTTTGCTGCCGAAACTGCTCCATTGTTGGCAGTGTGGGCACCTGCCGCAGAGGACAGCGCTGTGCTAACCTGTCATTAAGCCCTGAGTCCTGCCTCCCATTAGGCGGTGACAAAGAGCTGGTGGGGCTTGTCAGCGCTGGCCCGGACCTGGGGGTGTCTCCTGTTCCATGTCCACTTCTCTCCACCCTCTGTGGGCTGGGAGCAGCATGAGTTCTGGAGTTAGCTGGACAGGAAGCTCCATCTGAGCAGGACGGGAAGGTCCCTCACCCCTGACCCCAGGACCAACAATCCCTCCCTCACAGGGGTCTGGCGAGGACAGAAGGACATCTTGCTGCTGATGTCCAGGTACTGTGGCACATCCGGTCACCCGTACCGGGGTGGGGACATGCAGAGCCTGGGGACCCTAGAAGAGTGGAGGTCAAGGGTCAGGGGTCAAGTTCCAGAATTGCGCATTTCTGCTTGAGGACACACAGGGATTGGAAAGGGGAAGAGCTGGGAGGGGCCAGGAAGGGTGGTGGGGTCCTCCCTCACCACGCATGGTGCTCAGTCCCACGTACTGAGGAAGATGGTGGCTTCAGGCTGGGACACTGTGGTGCAGCCTCCACTGTCCCTTTCTTCCTTCCTCCCCACTTGTCTTTCTGTCCTTTGTGTGTGTGAGGGGGTGGGTACTGGGTATTGAATGCAGACCTTTTGCACTGAGCTTCCAACCCTTTTTTTAATTATTTTTCACTTTGCTAAATTGCCCAGGCTGGGCTGTAACTTCTGCCTCAGCTTCCTACCATGCTGGGATTATAAGTGTGGGCCGCCACACCCAATTGGAGCCATTTTCCTTGACTCATCTAGTGGTCAGTATAGTGTGTAATGTCACCCTCACTTTATATGAGACCAAGGCACAGGGAAGTCAACTAACCTGCGCTAAGAACGCAGCTGACAAGAGCCTGAGCTGGGCTATTTCTTCCTGGGTCTACTTCTTGGCTCCCTCCACTCTCAGATTCACCTTTTTGCTCCTCTCCAAAGCCAAGAGGCTGCACACAGCCTTAGAAGGTCCACTTGTCCTTGAGATAATCATTCTTCCCTCTCTCCTGGAGGCTTAGGATGGGTTGGGGTCCCAGGCATAGCTGGTCAGATTGCCAGGATGATTTTGGACGAGCAATGCAGCCCCCCAGCCCGCAGAGGTCCTGGGCCTGGCTGGGTCCAGGGCAGGATGGGCTGCGCACTGCTGGTGGTCTGGTGGTCCCTGAGGAGGACTTCCTTCAGCAGGCCACCCTGAGCAGGAATCCCACCTGGTGTGGCCCTTGTGGAGGAAACCTGTGCCTGAAGCTGGTCCTGCTGCTGCTTCACAGGTCACCAAGTGACTTTCCTAAAGCCATGCAAGGTGTGTTTTTTACTGTGCTGCCCAGCACTACTTGGCACAGCTGGCACCCTGCCATCTTGGGGTTGGGCAGCTCATGCTTGCCCATGATGTATCTGTGTCTTTGATTAATAAAAAACAGGGAGTTGATAATTATTTGGGAACTCATAATTAGCTATTTGTGGTGCACATTGGTAGGAAAAAAATCTTTTGCCACCCTAGCCTCTGGCATGGAGTGCCATTCCTCCATGGTCCCAGCTGGCTGTGTAGGGGGGTGGGCACGGGGTGATGTCCAGTCTGGGACAGGCTGTAGCTGGGCCATCCCAGCTGCAGCATGGAGGGCAGTGGGCGGAAGGGGTCATCATCCCCTGCACAGTGAGGTGCTAGAGCACACGCGGGGTGTGGAGTAGGGTGATGGGGAATTTCCCATGCACCTTTACCACTAGGCTTCCAGACTTTGCCAGTTGGGGGCCTGGGGCCCCTTCTGAGGGACCAGCTTGGCCAAGTGCATGAGGGAACCTTTCTGGCCCCACAGCGGGATGACAGGGCCAGGTAGGCTTCGAGAGTCCAGGCTGGGCAGTGGGCACCTCCTGACCCACGCCTGGCTTCCTGGAGTTGCTCCCAGCAGGGAAAGCTTTGACTTCTGCCCTGGGGGGCCGGCCCTGCCCAGAGGGGATCCTTTGGATGTGTCATTGGTGACTGTGGACCCCAGGTGACACCCCAGAGGCCCTATGAGCCTGGAGGCCCCTGATCTGCCCACGTTGGGGTGGCTGAAGTAAGCATGCGGAAGAACCCAGGCCAGGCCACAAATGTGGCCCACACCTATGTGGTCCCTGGGTCTTCTAATTCCTATTGCACAGATGAGGAGAACCAACACCACCACTGCCTGGCTCTGAGATCTCAGCCATTCTGGAACAGGCACAGTACTGGAGCCGAGCCGCTTCCTGGGCCACGGCTGGTCCTGCCCCCTGGAGGGCACAGGTGACCTCAGGTGAGCTCAGGTGACCTGGGCTCTGGGAAAGCCAGACTCATGGGTGCCTTCTGGTATTTTGCAGATGTTCCCCCTTGGCTCCGATGGAACACGGCCTGGCTGTCACCCACAGTGAGGCCACCTGGCTTCATGCACACCTGGCAGGGCTCTCGTGGACTTTCCTCAATAGCTGCCTGGTTGACTTCAAAAGTGGCAACACACTGGCAATGGTGTGAGCTGAGCAGGCTGTCCTGACAGTGGCGGCATCGGGCCAGCAGTGTCTTCTATGGCAGTGTTGCTGCTGTGTCTGGAAAGCTGCAACCCGAAGGCCAGGAAACTTCCCACCGAGGCCTCCTGCCAAGGGCACCACAGGCTGCACACGGAACCGTTCAGGTGTCCATTCAGCCTGGGGGCTCAATGCCTCAATGAACACTGGCCAAGGTGCCAATGGGGGCTGCCAATGTGGCTCAGTGGCACAGCACTTGCCTAGCAAAACATGCAGGCTGAGGAAAAACCCCCAGCACTGTGGTCCAGCCCTTCCCAGGTGTGTCCAGGGCACAGCTAATGCTGCAGACTCGTATGCTGCACACCGGACAGTTCAGACCTCGCGTGCCCTTCCCTGGTTTCTGTCAGTGGAGCCTTGGTCAGAGCAGTAGGAAGCTGCAGGGTCGCAGCTAGCGCCTGACACGGATCTGCTCCTCTCACTCCACCCCTGTCCCACGCGTGGGTGTGGGCCTGCTGCGGATGTGTTTGGCTCTAACATTTTTTTTATTGCGGTAAAATATATACAACATAAAAATTGCCATCTAATTTTCAATATTGGGGATTTAACCCAGGGCCTTCTCACTGAACTGCATCCCAGGCCTTCAAGAAAAAATTTAAAAATGGGCCAGGGATTTAGCTCAGTGGTGCCACCACCTGCCTTGCAAGCTCAAGGTTCCAAGTTTTATCTCAGGACTATCCCCCAAAAAATATATAAAATCTTTTGAGACAAGGTCTTGTTAAATCGCTAAGCTGCCCAGTCTGGGCTTGAACTTGGGACTCCTCCTGCCTCAGCCTACCAGGGTGTTGGTATTTCACTGCGAGTCGAGGAATTAACAGGGAGATGCTGTGGCCTGGGACATCCTCATCCTCAGTGTGACCAGGGACCAGCAGCAGGGCAGCAGCACTGGGCAAGACAGTGCCTTGAGTGCTTGGCCCTGTCCTGAGAGGAGGCAGAGAGGACCTGTGGATGGCCACTGAGATCATCAGGATGGGATCAAGTTGCGGCTGGTTCTGAGGTGGAGATGGTGCGTCGAGGCCAGGGAGGACGCGCGGGTGTAGGGCCACTATCCCCGGGCGTCAGGCACTTTACAAAGTACATGCAGTGTCCAGCTCAGATAGGATGGCATCCTGGGCTGAGTAAGGCCCCGGACTCACTCATACAGAGCTTTGGGGTTCAACCTTGTCAGTTTAGGAGGCCATATGACCCTAAGTCCTAAGGTGGGCCTCAGTCCAAGGGCTGGTGGCATCCTTCAGGACAGAGGGACACGCGGAGGCCAGTGAAGATGGGTGCAGGGGTGAGGTGGACACAAGTCAAAGGACACTAGGAGCCACTGGAAGCTGGAGGAGGCAGGCGGGCCCTTTCCCCAGAGCCTTGAGGGGAGCGTGCTGCTGGGACACCCCATTCCAGCCTCCCAAGCTCCAAACCTGGAGAATGTTTCTGTGGTTTTGTGCTGGGTGTTGTCTTTGCACCTCGAGATCTTGGGTGTTTCTGCCTCAGCCAGTCCAGCGGTGGGGCCATGTGCTAGACGCCGAAAGCCAGGAAAGCAGTAGGTGCTGAGAGGCCCTAAAGTCTAGATGGCCAGCTGGGCCAGGACAGCCCACCGGGAGGGTGGGAGGCGGACCTTTCCATGGGCAGCTGAGAACAGCGGCTATCTGTCATCAGGATGACCAGCCGCCCACAAGGCTTGTATTGGCTAAGGGGGAAAGAAAGGAGTTCGGTAGGAGAGAACCTTTACACACAGACACGGAGGTGGAAGACAGGCCGGGATGGTGGCTGGGAGAAAGCTGAGGCCCGATGGGAGCTGGAGGCTTGGCCTCTGGAGCAAGTGGATGCAGAGCTGGGGAATGAGGGCACCAGGCCAAAGGGCGGAGCATGGGGCTGGAAATCAGGTCGCTGAGGGACCTTTTCCACCCCGAATCTTAGGCCCCACAAAGGTCAGGGAGTAGCCAGACCACATGGGCCCTGCAGAGGGTGATGGTTCTGAGAGTCGGGAGCCCAGCATGGGTCAGCCAGAGCCCACGGCCAAGCATACACCCAGGAGGGCATCTGGCCAGCGCCAGCTCTGTAGCAAGGCAGGCCTGTGAGGACACAGGGAGAAGGGGCGCAGCTGTGCACTTGGGAAATGGCTCCAGCGGGGACAGGAGTCAGAAAACAGAGAGCCAGAAGCACAGCGGAAACTGGGAGACAACTGAGCAGACACCCGCTCCGGGCAAGACCCTCAGCCCTGGGGGCTCTGCGTAGCAGTCACCAGAGCACCAGCAATGCCCCCAAGAGGCCGTGGAAGCCGACGGCTCCAGAAGCAGGATAGCCTTGTGGAAATGGCCCGGGTCATGTGAGGGCACCACTCACCTACACGCGTCGAGTCAGTTTACCTGCTCACTTCACAGTATCTGTGGGCACCGTCTTGGGGTCGGGTCCTCCGAGACTTTTGGGGCACAGCAGCACCAGAACACAACCTCAGCCCCCAAGTGTGCACCTGTGGCTCTCTTCTGACCTGGGAGGGCGGCAGTGACCTTAAGAATGGCAGGGTGTGCACCTGAGGCCTCAGCACGGACAGTCACTGCAGGAAGAGCCTGGAGGGGTGGCAAATGGGCTATGGAGTCTGGGACGAGGGGGCATGGGGACAGGTTTCTTCAGGGGAATGAAACGTTCTGTAAGTGATATAGTGGTACAACTGTCAGCCTACTGCCATGCCCTCGAGTGTACCCTTCAGAGTAACTACGGTGGATGAGCTATAGCTCAATCTAAAAACAAGACGGAAGCAGTTAACTTTGTGGGGAGACGCAGTCTAGCTTTGGCTTCCTCCAGGCCAGAGCACCAGGGAGAGAACAACCACACAGCTCTGGACTCGCAGCGGTGGGGAGCCCTGGGGCTTTCTGCTATCAGGGACGCCTGCGCAACACCTGTAGTGTCTCACGATGAAGTCCCAGCAGGACAGCCGCGGGCCCAGGACACAACCTCCACTCCAGAGTGAGCCTGGGCCAGACCTCCCCTCCCCGAGTGCACAGGGTCCAGCACAAGATGAAAGCCATGGGTAATTAATGCTCTCAGGCCTGGCCTGCCTCTACAAAACCCTTTATGGTGACCTGAAAGAGAAAGCAAATAGATGCAAGACCCATCCTGGCTTCTAGGACACGAGGACCTTTGAAATTATAAGACATTAAAATAAAGCCTCCGGTGAAAGGACCTCGTGTTCTGGTTGCAGATTTGATGTTAGATCAAAACCGAATTGCTCCTGAAAGCTGAAGCACTGGCTTATTATTTGAGGTAGCTGAACCCCAACATACAGGAAGGACATCTGCCTTAGCTGTGCCCAGCAGTGTCACCTGTCTGGGACCCCTGTGGACAACCTGTGGCTGCGGTCTTCTCCAAAGGGCTGAAGGCCACCTCCTCTGCTTTCTTCTGTCCCCACCATTTCGTTTAGGAAGGGCACTCAGGAACAGGGCAGGAAGTCCAGTTGGTGAGGGGCCTTGGGCAAAGATGTGGCCTCACCATGGAAGGAAGTCTCTTTCCAGGTCACAGCACCTACAGCAGCAACCATGGCTCTCTTGGCTGCGGTCTGAGCTGAAGATGGCTGCCATTGGTCCCAGCTGCATCTTGGGGACCACTTGGCCTAGGGCAAGGACTCCTAATAAGCAGAGCTGAGAAGTTCAGCCCAGCCCACCAGGGACAAGTCTCCCGCCATACTCTTGGGACACCCTGCTGGGCTGCGGCCACCCATTGGGAACAATGCTGGCAATTCACAGCTCGCTTCACCTTTAGTTAACAACTTGCTTGTGCATTCTGAAGTCGAGCCAGAACCCGCGCATACTTGGGTCGGATATTGGGTGCATTCAGTCGTGAAGCCGAGTCTGCCTTGGCATTCGGCTCCCACAGAGCGGAGTGTGGCGTTCCCAGAGTGACAGGGAAGGAGCTGGCCCACACCGCTCCCCTCGGATGGCTGGCAGCAGCGAGCACCACTGCTCCACTGTGGTGCGATCAGAGCCCAGGCAGACGGAGCCCCTGTGGACCCCAGAGGGCTGTCCTTGTTACTGTACCACTGTGCGTGGGAAGCTGGGTGCTGGCCGTGTTGCTCTGCAGAGCTCCCCAGCAGCAAGCGTGCGGCGGCAGCATGCAGCAGGAGCCAGCAGTGCAGTCCTCCTCCTAATTAGGGGTGTTAATTAGCACAAGTGAGCCAACTCCGGCACATCAGTAGGCGAGGCTGATGGCTGCACAAAGCTCTGGGGAGCAGGCGGGCGGCGGGCGGGACACCTAGGCCGAGGGGAACCTTAGTAGAGGAACCCCGAGCTGGCAGGGAAGACAGAAGCACCAACTCTGAAACAATGACACACATACTCTCTTACGCATTCAGAGCCACCCGTGTTTTACAGCCTGGTTTGCCTGTGCAGCACCTGCTGCGGTGCCACGCTACCACCTGAGCGGCTGGCGGCCCTGGCCCAGCTCGGCCTCCACGTAGGCATCATAGAGAACCTTCAGGTGGAGCAGCAGCTGCTCCAGGTTCTCCCCAGTCAGCGCCGACAGGGCGATGACCTCCTGTCCCAGCTGGGCCCGGAGCCGGGGCAGAATGGCTCTGGCCTGTGGCAGATCAATCTTATTTGCAACGATTGTGTGGGGTTTCTCAGACAGGCCTTCTTCATACTTCTCCAGTTCGTATTTTAAGTGCTCAAACTGGGTCCACGGCTCTGGCAGGGAAAGGTCCACCACAAACAAGAGGAAGCGGCAGCGCTCGATGTGCCTGAGGAAGCTGAGCCCCAGGCCCCTGTTCTGGTGGGCGCCTCGGATGATCCCTGGGATATCTGCCACTACAGGGGACAAAGCACACGTGTCACCGCTGCCCTGTGCACCATGACCTCTAACCTCAGGCTGGGAGGGGAAACCAGGAGCCCTGTCTGGGGCCAGGCTCCCTACCTTCTAAGATTTCCCTTTCAAGGAACACCCAAAACCAGGGCCATCATTTACCCTAGTGACTCAGCAGGCCACCTGACACAGGCACCTCGGCCTTCAGATTTACAAAATGCACTGAAATATATGGGTGACAGGCACAATGCTGGAGCAATCTAATGAGGAATACTGAACACACTCCTGTCTTTCTGGCCTTAAACACGATTCAAAAAAGGGGAAAATGGCTTCCTGTACTCTATTAATAATTTGATTACCGATAGAATTCATTATAGAGTACTTTGCAAACATAAAGTGCTATACAAATAACCTTGCCAGCAGGCTTACTATTTTTAATGGGTACATTATCTGCTGGAAAAAAGTTTTCTTCTCTCAAAATGGTACAGGGAAAGCTTTTACGATCACATGTTGTCTACAGACTGATGCTGCTGAGTCCCCATAGAGGAGAGGAAATAAACGCAGTGAGAAGGAAACCTCTCCTCAGGATATTTAAACTCACATTTCTGAACTGAAACTAACAGATCCCTGAAGGGTGGGCTCCTAATTTTGCTAGAGAACAAACTTACCAACATTGTTTCAATTAGGAAAAACAACTCAACAATTAAAATAGGAAGCTAAATTTAGGAGTTACATAACCATCTTCCGGAATCACTGGGACTGTCTAAACCCACCTGCTACCTGCTGGTGGCCGGCATAGTGCACAATCCCCACGTGGGGATTCAGGGTGGTGAACGGGTAGGATGCCACAGCGGGCTTGGCATTTGAAATGGCTCGCAGGAGTGAGGACTTCCCAGCATTGGGGAACCCGACCTGGAAGAGCAAGCACAGGAGGCAGCTGACTCACAGCCGGCTGGGGCGAGGGACACTGGGCTGGGGTCAGAGGGTACGCACATCAGCAGCACGCTGATGGCACAGGCTGTGCCACAAAGCGCTTCATTCCTGCTAGGCCCAGAGATGTCCCACAAGAGGGCACCCACCATCCCGGCGTGGGCCACCGTCTTGAGCTCCAGGTGGAGAACACGCTCCTGACCCGGCTCTCCAGGACTGCAGGTCACCGGGGCGCGGTTGTCGTTGGCCAGGAAAAAGCGGTTGCCTTTCCCGCCTGCGCCCCCCAGCGCGGCAATGTACTCATCGCCGGGGCAGCTCAGGTCAGCCACGATTTCACCTCCCTCCTTCACCAGGGTGCCCGCGGGGACCTGAAAGGCAGCATGGTGTTGTTATATTCTCCACAAGTGAAGGGGAAGCAGGACAGGGCACCGCCAAGTTCCCCCTCACGGCCAGGTTCTTGAGGGCACTTATGGGGCTGGGCACACACCCTTCAGACTTCCACGTGACCAGCCCCTACATAGCTCATGGAGCAGACGCCTCCTAGGGACCCTGGGGCATCAGGCTTGGCCAAGGCGGAGCAGGGTGTGTGCTCGCTGGGCCACTTCTCCTAAGGCAATTACCTCACAGCCTTCACCAGCTCAGAGATGCATGTGGCATAGCACCAGTGAAGGGCCTGCACTGGGCTTCCCTCTGCAGGAGGGAGCCACTCTCTCCACCAACCCCAGTGGCTCTGGCTTACCTGGATGTAGAGGACAGCGCCACCTCGTCCGGAGCAGTTTTTGCTGCCGCCATCTTCTCCACTGAAGCCCTGATACTGGGACAGGACTGACGACAGGGACTTGACTTGAGGGTCAACTAGAGTTAAGAGCAAGAAACTTCACATTCCTTTGTGTTAAGACAGAACCAGCACCATGGGTAATATTCTTTTGTCCAGTTTAGGAACCTTAAAAAGCTGAATGCAGTGGCACATGGCTGTAGTCCCAGCACTCTGGGAGGCTGAGACAGGAAGGCTGGGCAACTTTGTGAGACCTTGCCTCAAAACTTAAAGTGGGGGGGCAGGTGATATAGTAGTACAAAGGACCTGAGTTCAATTCCCAGAAAGTGCTCCCAAACAAAAACAGGGAAACAGAATGGGATGATTAGAATGAAACTGTAGCAGAGGTTGCTGACTAGAAACAATTTTCAAAAAGCTGAGTTCATATTTTCCTTCAAAAAATTGCCATCTCTGAAAAACACTGAAGTTAATCATAATGCAATCATCAACTAAAAAAAAAAGCTATGTTTTTTTGTTTGTTTGTTTTTTTGAGGGTCTCTATGTAGTTGAGATGGACCTGGAACTCACTATGTAGCCCAAGCTGGTCTCAAACTCACAGAGATCCTCCTGCCTCACCCTCCCGAGTGCTGGGATTACAGGCATGCGCCACCACGCCTGGCAAATAAAAGCTTTTATTTTCTGTGACTGTTCCTGCTCCTGACCTACTAAACATTTATGCTAAACATGAGCTGAATGTAGTCAATGCTCTTTTCAGCACTTGCTGCGACAGTAATACAGATTTTATCTTCTGACACATACTGTCATGTTAGACTGCTAAAGGAAACTCTGTTCCTGAAATTAAAACTCCCAAACCCATTCAAAATTCATCGTTAGTTTTTAAAAATTACATCTAGACATCAAGTTTTTAATGCAAAAGCATGTAACGGTAAGAAGGCAGAACTTCTACTACTCCAGAGATGTAGGGGCTGTGCTTCCCCAGTCGTCCCCAGGCCACGTACCCTTCAGGATGACGTGGCCGCCACTGCCACCATCCCCACCATCGGGGCCTCCGAACTCCTTCCGGGGCTCACTGTGGAAGCAGCTCATGCCGGAGCCTCCACCTCCTCCACGGACAATCACTCTGCGATGGTCCACAAAATGCTTTTTCTACAGAGAACACAAGCACACAATGTTAGCAGAACTCCAAAATCCTTCCAAGGAGACCGAACGCCCACTTGAAATCAGTACGCCTTAACTGATTAAAGCTAGATAATTACTAAGCTCTCCTAAAATCCAAAGATATAAGCCAATTCCCACAGGTCACAAGAATTCGCAAGCTGAAGAGAATCCACGCAGATGTAAGGGTAGACCGTGTAGAAAGCACACTTCAGTTAAGATGCATTATGCCCATGCACGAACTCCCCACAACAGATGTAACCATTGTGTACTGAAACACGTGTAATAAAAAAGTAAAAAAAAAAAAAAAAAAAAAAAAAAAGAAACAAAACAAAAACTACTAAGGTACCTTTTAAAAGAGTACTATGGTATATGAATTATGTCTCAATTTATTAAAGCTATTACATTAAAAAACACACACACACACTTCAAAAAAGGAACTCGGCCTTTCTAACCTAAGAAGAGAATGCAGCCTATTTAAGAAATATTCTTTGAGCAAAGTGTCTTCCAGCTTCTCTCAAACAGAGACAAAACAGGTCCTGCTATGGAAAATTCTAGTTTTGCGGGATGTAATAAGGAGAGGTAGAGTCCTTGGACACCACCATGCTTTAGCTCTGCAGAAGGAACCTTCTGGTCCTGCCTATGTGAGGGCCCTATCTGCACACCATGCAGGGTATACTACATCCCTTGGAGGCAAAGTTTCTCTGCAGGCCCCTAACCCAGGCAAGGAATCCGAATAACCAGCTAACTAGGCTAATACTGAGTATACATTGCCTCATCCTGCAAGTCCATCTACCTTTTCTGCAGGACTGTGTGGGTGGACAAGGCCCTCTGGCCCTGACAGTGTCCCACAGCCCTTGTCAGGACTTGGGAGATGCATATTTCCATCCAAGAGGCTACAAACAGATTTAAAAAAATGAAAATACAAAATTATGTTAGGACTCTTTGGCACCACCAAATGGAAAAACCATGAATTACGATTTCAAAGGCTCTGCGTGTAATTTCACTATGCCTCAAAACTAGAATCCACCTGACTGGAAAAAAAGCACAAGTGGCGAGCACTGCACAGAAGAAAAGGCTGAGATCCCAGTCTGATCTGGGAAGAGACACGCCATGTGCTCTGCATCCTGGCTGCCAAAGTACTTTGTCAACCCACGTTGTGCTTGCCTCCAGAACGCTCACCTGGAGCCCTCACTTAGGGGAAATTAAATGAGCGGTAAATGCACATTTTCTTAAATGTAGTCAAAGATCATTCATGGTGTAGAGAGGATGTTGGTAAACAGAAAAGAAAACTTGTAAGGCTGTAACTTCAAAGGTCTACTCTGCCCCCACCCAGAGGTTTTGCATGTTCCTAGACATTAAAGAAACATCCAAGGTCACATCCAATATGCAGTGCCAAGTGAGCAGCCAGGCCCTCGCCCAGCCCAGGGAGCTCTGCCACCTGCCCTCCCTGGGCTGCCGCTGGTGATGGCAGGAAGGCCCCTTTAAGAAGCTCCACATGTTCCTTGAGTACCGCAGCCCGGATGAGCAAAGAGCAGATGGACAGAAGCCTCCACACGATGTGCTGCCACCCCAGGGAGCTTGAGGAGGGTTACTCCAGGCCAAGAATCTCACCAGTTTCTTCTCAGACAGCGGCTTCTTTCCACGGGGCTCCTGATGCTTGGTGAAGTCTGCGCAGCCCGTGGAGAGTGGCCTGAGTAGGGCCTTCTGTGGAAGGAGTCTATGGGGCTTGAGGCTAGCCTGTGTAGACAGAGCCCCCATCGCTCCCTCCAACATGGTCCAAGAGCTTGCTGAGAAGTGCCTCACAGGCATCCCGGCCCCTAGCAAAGTCAAATGGGCAAAATAAGGCACTAGGGCTAGCTCTGAGCCTCAAGCTGAAGCCAAAGCAAGTGTCCAACACATGGTGGGATCTGGTATGTGTCCTGCACAAAGCAACCTGATGAATCCAACTTTTTCCACCGGAGGCCCCTCTTGCCCTCTGGCACCCATCAGTACATTTGGGACTTGGGACAGGATCTGTTTTTTTGTTTATGTTTTGAGTGAAGGCCTTGCTTTGCAGTTCAGGCTGGGTTGGCCTCAAACTTGTGGTGATCTCCCTGCCTCAGGCTCCTGAGTGCTGGGATTGCAGGTGTGTGCGGGATGGGTCTGTGTACAGAGGATTTAAACCATTCGATCTCCAGCAGCACTGGACATACCTTAGGGGCAGTATCAAGAATCTGCTCAATGAGACTATTAAAAGGCAATCTAAACCTCAAGTCCAAACTTCTCCAGAGTGCAAAGCCCTTCTGTTCAGATGCTATTGTATCATCTCCTGTAGCTCACTGCTGTGTACACTACAACATGAAAATACCAGACGAGCACAGCAGCCAAGTGGCCAGGCATTGGAAACAGACTCCCCTCTGCTTGTCCCAGGGTGACAGGGAGGGTCACGCACCTGCTGCCTCAGTCTCCTCACTTGGAAGGTGGGTGAGGACGAGCTGGGCCGAGTCACATAGACCCAGAGCGGCAGTGGCAGCTGTCGTCCTGATAGGATGAGCAACCTCTATCTGGTCTCTGCCCCAGTTCCTCACACAGAGCTCAAACCCTTGTAATTTCCTGAGAGATGGGAGCGATACAAGTGTCTGACCCACAGCCACCAAAAGCCCCTTGGAATTTCCTGAGTGACAGGAGAGTCTTCTGCTCTAATGAGGTGCACAGCTTTAGGGTAGAGATGGTCAGCAGAAAGAGCAGGGCAGGAAGTTTGGAATTTTTACCTCCCCATCTTCCAGAGGGGGATGAGGCTGGAGACTGAGCCCACAGTCGGCGGTGTCTGCATGATGAGGCCTCTGCAAAACCCTAAAGCCAGGGCTGTGTAGAGTTCACGGGCTGGTGAGCACTGCGCCCGGAGACCCTGCAGCCCTCGCTTGGCGCACCTCTCCCCCTGGCTGTTCTGGCAGCCTTTGCAGTGTGCTTTACAACAAACCAGCAATCACCAGGTGCTGCCTCTCCAGCAGAGGTGGGGGTCCCTGGAGACCTGCTCCTTGCCACTGCATCCGAGATGAGGACAGTTTTTCATGAGTGACACTTAACCTGTGGGATTCCATTCATGGGCCAGCGTCAGAGCTGACTCGAATCTTGGGACACCTACACAGTCAGTGTTAGCAATGGTACAGGCCAGGGTCACACTCAGTGCGAGCTGCTTCTTGCTGGCAGTGGGCATCTTCTGGTAAGGTGAGGAAGACACTGACCTTGCTACCAGGAAAGGAGTCCCCTGCCTTCACCACTCCCACAGGTCCTATTCTGAGGGCGCGGTACAGGGAATCCATGCAGCTCTCCACATTTCTCAATATGCAGTTTATCTACACTGGGGGAACGTAAATGTCTGTGCACTGTATAACAAACTGCCACAAAGCCAGCACAGGTAAGCACACCAGGAGAGGACAGTCTGCCCTTTTCTAGAAGCCCCCGCTGGGTGCCACCCACTGTGCACACCCCGGCCTCTTTCCAGAGGCAACACTGCCTTCACACCGACTGTTCCATGGCCCTGCCCTCTGCACGAGGCACTCACAGTTTCAGAAGTGAAGAGCACACCTAACACACCACCACTGCAACACTTCCTGTCTTCCAGGACAAGGGTACCCCTACAGAGAAGGCCCCGAAGGGCAGCCCGCACCCCAGCCTTTCCTCAGAACAGCCTTGGGTCCTGGGGCGTCCTTCACAGGAGAGGCACACCCCGATCTCCTGTCGCCTGCACTGAGCAACCCTCAGCCCCTTGACCCTGTGCCCCGGGCAGCTGTCCTCGAATGCCCTCCTGCTGGCCTGACCTGATGGGCTCCAGACACGTGTGCTGCCTCTCCACCACCCAGCAGGTGGGCGTGTCACTGGTCGCCTGTCACTGCTGGCACTCAGAGCACTGGTCAGGGGCGGTCTGGCGTCTCCCAGGAGTAATCGCATGCATTTCGTGGGGAGGCACCGTGAGTGTGTGGGAACCTGTTTATCCAGTTCCTTATTTAACCATCAATTTACTCATTTTTATGTACTCACATTTTCCTAGTTCAGCCAACTGTCATTGAATGCTCAAACTGTTCCTACTTTGACCAGTGGAGACTGCTATGAGGCCCTGTGACCTTTTGACATATGCCACCAATCTGAGCTTCCTGCACAAGTACCCAAGACTCACCTGTCCTGTCCCTGCCCCACCTTGAAATGGGTTGCACCTAACGGAGCCTGACCCCTTGTAAAGGAGAATGGTGTTTGGGATCTAAGTCTGCATGCTGGCCTGCTCACTACTGAGGAGTTGTGGTTCCGATTGTGAACAGGGCTGGAAGCACACAGCATTTCACCTACAACCAGGCCTACTCCCAGTGGCTTTCCCATCTACCAACACCTGCCAGGAACCTCAGTTCAGACCAGTGTGTCCAATCCAGCACCACCAGATCCCCCCAGTGCCTCCTCCTGTCTTCGGCTCTAGGAGCCCAGGGGTCCCGTTGGTCCTCTCCGTATCTGCCCAGTGTCCCACTCAGTCAGCAAGCCTCACCTCACCCCTCCTCAGCAGGGTCTCCCCTCTACCTGGCCGGTTGTGAAAATATTTTTAAAATAAACCTTATCTAGAATGGCTTTAGAGCTACAGAAAAGTGGCAAAACTATTCCTAAATTCTTATGTTGTACCCTTACAAACTCAACAGTTTTTAGACATTCTTATTAATGGTGCTGACAGCACATAACATCTACACTGCTTGTGGAGCTGGTACGCGGAAATAATGCAGCTTAGCTCTTTTTCTCATCCCATTTCCCTTCTCTCCCTTTCTCCTCCTTCCATCTTTTGAGCCCCTTCCTATTTGAGGAAGATCTATCTCCATATTTTCTATTCTATTATCTATCATTTATTTTGCTCTTTATTTATAATTTGGGACAAATTCAACAATTTACATGAAATGGACACTTAAAAAAAAAATACTGGGGATCTAACTTGGGCCCCTGCGCTTGCGAAGCAGGCATGGGAACCACGAAGCTAAATCCCCAGCCCATGGACACATATCTTGAAAGATGCAACTCACCAAATAAACCCAAGAATATGACTGGGGAATTAGCTCAGTGGCACCACACCTGCCTTGCAAGTGCAAAGTTGTGAGTTCAATCCCCAGTACCAAAACCAAAGCCAAAATCCAAAAAACTCCAAGAATAAACCAACTGTTGGGTAGAGTGGTGCATGCCATAATCCCAGCACTTGGGAGGCTGAGGCAGGCAGATCACTCTAAGTTTGAGGCTAGCCTGGACTACAAAGTGAGTTCAAGACCAGCCTCAATTACATAGAGAGACCTTGTCTCACAAAGAAGAAAAAAGAATAAACCAACAGCTCCAGTATCTACTAACAAAACTGAATCTGCTAGAAAAGAACATTGCCGAAGCAAAATTCCAGACTCAGATTTTCTTGGTAAATTCCATCAAAATATCACCAAAAAAAAAAAAGCAATCTTACACCTTTTCAGGAACCAAATAAAGTAAGATCACTATCCAATTCAACTTTCGGGACTACTGTAACCCCAGTATAAAACCTTAACTTTACAAAAACATTCTTTTGCAGAGCAATATTCCTCTAACAAATATTTCTCACCAAATCCAGCATCACAAAGATCATATGCCAAGCCCCTTGTCATCCCAGGAACAAAAGGCTACTCTAGCAGTCAGAACGCAGCCCAGACCCCTCCTCATACTGATTGACCACTTCAGTACCACCCAGGACTAGGAAAACAGCAAACCAGGAAGAGAACTCTCCCTTTGTACCCCATAAGGGGTGTGTGCGGAGGCCTACTGCTAACATCACACCTGAGAAAAGGCAAGGACGCCCACTTCACGTCTATGCAATCCAGTCCTTTTATTATGTATTTACTTGGTTTTCTGAGACAGGGTCTCACTATGTTAATTGTTATGGCTGGCCCTGAACTCCATATAAGGCCTAGGCTGACCTCAAACTTGCAGTGATCCTGCCTCAGCCCCACGAGTGCTGTTATTACAGAGGTGCATCACCACACCCAATCTGGCCCTTTTAGATGCTGCAATAAAGGAAGTGAAGCCGGGGATTTAGCTCAGTGGTGCTGCTGCCTGCCTTGCAAGCACAAGGTCCCTAGTTCCATCCCCAGTGCCCAAATAAATAAAGGAAGGAAGGAAGTGAAAAGGGAGGAGTAACACTGCCCCTATCTGCAGAAAAGATGACTCATTCCATCGAAAACCCCACGAAATCTAAAACAACAATTAGAATTAATAAATTGGGCAAGGTTGCAGATTACAAAATAAAAACTTAAAAATTAAGTGTATTGTTAAATACTAGCAGCAAACAAATTAGAAATTAAATTAAGAAAGCAATTTCCAGCTGGGCATGGTGGCTCAGGCCTGTAATCCCAGCACTTGGGAGGCTGAGGCAGGAGGATCACTTTGAGTTTGAGACCAGCCTGGACTACATAGTGAGTTCCAGGTCAGTTTCAACTACATAGTGAGACCCTGTCTCAAAAAACAAAAAACAAAACAAAAAAAGAAAGCAATGTCCTTTATAGGAGTACCAAATACAGAAAGTACCTAGAAATAAACTTAACAATAAACAGTCAAAACTTCTACCTCCCTACTTCCAAAATACTGTTTTAAGTGTTTTTCAGGGATTACCTAATTTTGTCCTAAAAACTGTGAAAAAAGTACCTATTTACCAAAGAGAAAAGAGGCAAAGAGAGGTGAAAGGGCTTTGGAGTGTGAAAGTACTTAAGGGAAAAAGCCCTGAGGCTCCTCCACAGAAACACAGGCAGCTGCACTTGCAGGGAACATGGTATCCATTCCAGACTGCTGGGAAACAGGCCTCACCCACCTGGTGAGGTAAAAGCTGAAACATTGGTAAAGTGATCTACTGCAAAACCCCTGAGGCCCTCTGAATGGGCCTCATGGGGCACACTTCCTACTTTCTACCCTTTTGTCTGTCTAGAGAGGTCCACTGAGTAACACTGTTCTCTCCTAGCAAGGGAACAAGTTCAGCATTGTTCTGTACTACTGGTTGACCATCTTTATTCCTCTCCCAGTAAAGGCTATTCTTGCACTGCTTAACAATCATGAGCCACATGGGGCTATTAAACTTAATTGACATTAAATAAAATGCAAAAACTCAGTTCCTCAGTCCCACAGGCCTCATTTTGGGTTACATCCACATGTGGCCTGTCGATGCCACACAGGGCAGCACGGAGAACATTTCACACAAAGTCCCAGGGACAGCACCTATCTATACTATGCAGAGGGAACCAAGACAAGTGAGCACACCCTGTTCTTAACAGCAGCCAGTTGCCAGGCCCAGTGTAGCAAAGAACAAAAAAGCAAGACTGTGATGAGAGCCCAGGATCCGAAGCCTGCCAGAGAATGAGATGTTTTAGGGTTACAGGACAAGGCTTTGACAAACACCAGGGAAGGGGTTCATCAATGGAAAGGGCCTCCTTTGGACATTGTCACTGTTGTTCTTGAAAATGTTAGGCTCAATATCTACTGGTTTACAGAAGTTATTGCCAGGAACTTCTTTTAAACTTTCTATAAAGACTTTTATTTATTTACTTATTTGAGACAGGGTCTCACTCTGTAGTTGAGACCGACCTGGAACTATGTAGTCCAGGCTGGTCCCGAACTCATAGCAATCCTCCTGCCTCAGCCTCCCAAGTGCTGGGATTACAGGTATGCGCCACCACGCTGTCTTATAAAGACTTTTAAATGTATTCCTTACAACTGTGGCTCTGTCTCTAGTCTGTTTCACTTGACTGACTTCCTGTGACTGTACGCTTTGGCAGGCTGGAGAGAGGAGAGCTTTCTGCTTCAGTCAAGTCCCCAGACTGAGAATCACATCTGCAGTGAGGGAAGCTGTTCCCCCCAGGCCTCTTTTGCTTCCAGTGACTGAATGAATCCTCCCCTAAGCCTTAGGAGCCCAGGGGTAGAAGCAATTGCACTGCTGCAAACTCCAGGCCAAAGCACCAGCACGGCCCCTTCCTTTATCAGCGTCCTGTCTGCTTCTCCATCCCCCCAATGGGACTCAGGACCTTGCCTTTGGAGGCAGGCAGGGTGCCAATGTGCTAAATCCCCCCACTTTTGTTAATGCCCCTACAAAACAATAGAGATCAATGCAGGGACATTAAGTCACTTTCCCAAGGACAGACAGCGTCCTCTGGCAATGCATCTTACAACAGGAATCTTCACACTGAACTGTGCATCCACAGACTTTCCAAGGGAACTATAAGGCAAGGTCTTTTCCAGGAACTAATATTCTGTACCTCATCCTTCCCCACTTCTACGGGGGTCTAAACCCAGGTTCTCATCCCCAGGTTTTTGGTTTTTTTAATTTTTTAAACAAGATTTCGCTAAACTGCCCAAGGTGGACTCGAACTTGTGACCACCCTGCCTCAACCTCCCAGAGCGCTGAGGTTATGGGCGTGCCCCAGCATGCCTGGCCTGCCCCTCAGCTTTTGAAGTGCTCCCTTCGCTGACACAGACCTGCAGAGACGGGCGTGCACGTGACAGAACTGAGTCCCCCCCCCCATGTCCCTCTGACACGGGGTCCTCTCCCGTGTTTTCCAGTAACATCTCCAAAACAAGAACCCTCCATCGCATCTGAAAGTCCCTATGAAAAACTGCTGGCACAACCGCCTCCATCGGCCCAATCCAGCTGGCCGACTGCTGGGGAACGCCCCGCTCCTGGAGGCCAGAACAGACCTCGCTCGCCGCGGAGCGGCACCTCCCACGGGGGCGGGCCTCAGGGGAGCGTCCAGCGCCCGACCGAAGCGCTCCCGTTGCGCTAGAGGCTGACA